CGGGCAGGTGATGCTGGGCAATCTCGGTCCCGCAGAGTTGGGAGCAGCATCTCCTGGTCACCGGTCTTCCCAGTCCTGCTCACCCCCTTCCTTTTTCTTTATTAATTATTTTCTTTTTAATTTGATAAGCAGAAACTCCAGAGCCTCCCCAACCCGGTCCTTTGGTCTTTCTTAATCTGGGAGACGGGCTGGACCGTTCCCCTTGCCTTCCTTCCTTGCCTCACGTCAAGGAGTTTTCTGTGTCTCCCTGGATACAGTCAGATCGAATGGGAGGCAATGGGAGATTGCGAATGGGAGATTCCACTTGTTCTGGAGCTCAGTGGGAGGAGTTTGAAAAAGATTGCACAACGGAGAGGGTAGAAGGCTTTTGGGGCCCAGGAACGAACTGCCGGGAATGGGCCAGGGAAGGTCGAAATCTCCTCTTTTTTTCTTTTGGCAGGTGAGCAGATTGAAAGGTTCAACTTGTTGGACTCGCTGCTTGATCACTCAGGGATATTTAATATTACTTATGTATCTGGCTAATCTTAGAAATCACTCTTGTATGAAATTACGAAATACGTAATATTTTTCTAATGCAATTCATGAACTTCAAAAGGGAGAACAAAGGTCCCGTTGCACATTTGAGCAAATGTCAAGCATCTGGCTTTTTGGGGCCTGTTTCTGAGGTCACGTCTAGGCAGGAGGGTGTTACTACTTCTCAATTACTTTTCTCTCTTTGTATTCTACAAGGGTACAGAGGATTAAAAAAAAGAGATCCAGTGCTTGTAGGACTGAAAAAAACTGTGGGCAAATGTACTTTAGGGTTTCAACACTGTCACATTGGACACTTGACTTATTCCCTTAGGGTGCGAAAGCCAGCCTCAGTGTTTGATTTCATAGGCTTCTCAGGAGAGAACTCTCCGGTAAAAAGCCACTGCAATTGAGGACATAAGTGCCCTTTTATGCCACTGGGATAAGGACAAAAAGTCATTGAATTAGGAACTGAGGTTTAATCAACTAGTATTTTAAAGGACCAAGATAAGAGGTAATGACCCTTCACGCACAAAGCTTTGGTTAACAACTGGATATGAATAGCCATATTTTTGTCTACTGCCTTATTTTTGTTTACTTTGTCCTCCTGTCCTCTTTGCTCATGCTTCTGTGGGAATCTTTTTTCTTTTTGGTTTCCTACTGACTATGATGTGGAACTGAAACGCACTGTTAAATGTCAGTTTTTGAATTTTCATTTAAAAAGTGAGTGAATATTTTCAATTTTGAGCCCGTCCGGTGGTGTGTGCTTGCAGTCTTGGCACTTGGGAGGCTGAGAGGACAGTGGAGAGTTGAAGACGAGCATGGACTACTTCGTGAGACCTTGTCTTCAAACACCAAAGCAAACAAAAAATAAAGCAAAAAAATCTGGACTGGGGATTGTACCCAGGACCTTCACACTGAGCTGTATCTCTAGCCTCTTAAAATTTTTTTTACTTTGATTCTGTTGTTTTGTTCTTTTGTCTGTTTGAGACAGGGTCTTGCTATGCAGTTCAGGCTGGCCTTGAGCTCACTTTGTAGCCCAGGTTGGTCTCGAACTCACAACGATCCTCCTGCCTCAGCCTCCCGAGTGCTGGGATTACAGGCATGCGCCACCATGGCTGGCCTTAATTTTTTTTTACTTTGAGACAAGGTCTTGCTAAGTTCCTCTCGTCCAGGTCACTAACTTGATAAAATATGCCTTAATTCTAACTCGGCCTCTGACCTCTTGTTCTGGAAACAGAAATGATTTATAACAAATTGGGTTGTTTTTTAAAAAAATTGAATTTAAAAGCCACTTGTCTTTGTAGGACTTGAAGCGAGGAAAGTCTGAGATGGGTTTCATCGGTTCCTGCTCATTTGAATCGTCTAGCTGGTCTTTTTTTTTGTCTTTTTGAGACAGGGTCTTGCTATGCAGTTCAGGCTGGCCTTGAGCTCACTTTGTAGCCTAGGCTGGTCTTGAACTCGCAGTGATCCTCCTGCCTCAGCCTCCCAAGTGCTGGGATTACAGGTGTGCACCATCACCCTCAGCCATTTTTTAAAAAAATTGGTCCCTTTTTTTTATTTGTTCTTTTGAGATAGGGTCTTGCTGTGTAGCCCAGGCTGGTCTTAAACTCGTGGTGATCTTTCTGCCTCAGACTCTTGAGTGTTGGGATTACAGGCAGGCACCACAACCTCTGGCTCCACTTTTTGTTTTTAAAGATAGGATCCCCCTATGTTGCCCAGGGTGGCTTTGAACTCCGGGGCTCAAGTACCTAGTCACTCTTGACCTGCTTAGTTAATTGGTGGCATCCTTTCCTAACTAAATCCTTTTGAATGGTCTCTTAAGGTAACTTTTTCTTTTAAAGATAATATTATAATACATTATTTTGAGGGCTGTTTTAGGAAATTGTCTAAAACTGTGCTGGTATGATGGCCACTAGCCCTGTGTGGCTTTTAAAATTGGCTAAATAAAAATTTTAAATTATGTTCCTCAGTCATACTAACCAAATTTCAGGTGTTCCAGTAGCTGGTGTGGCTAGAGGCTATTGTATTTTTCTCTGTTCTTTTTTTTTTTTTTTGGATACTGGGAATCGAATTTAGGACCTTCTGCTTGTGAGGCAGGCGCTTGCACCACTGAGCTACATCTCCCGCCCCAGGTTACTGCATTAGAGGAAGTCTATAATATATCCCTCATTGCATAAAGTTCTGTTGGAGAACATGGTCTTTTTTTTTTTTTTTTTTTTTTCTCCGGTACCGGGAACCGAACTCATGACCTTGCGCTTGCCAGGCAGGCGCTTTGCCACTGAGCTAAATCCCCAGCCCTGAGAACATGGTCTTAAAAGAGGCTATATACTTATCAAGTACTCCAGGAGCTGTGTGTGAGTGTGTGTGTGTGTGTGTGTGTGTGTGTGTGTCTTTTTGAGACAGGGTCTCGCTTTGTAGCCCAGGCTGGCCTTGAGCTTGCAGCAATCCTCCTGCCTCAGCCTCCCAAGTGCTGGGTCCAGGTGCTTTTATTTATTTGTTTATTTGGGTTTTTGAGACAAGGTCTTTCTCTCCCCTCCCCCATATATATATTTTTTGGTACCAGGAATCGAACTCAGGACCTCACAGTTGCCAGGCAGGTGCTGTGCCACTGAGCTAAATCCCCAGCCCCAAGGTCTCATTATATAGTTCAGGCTAGCCTTGAACTCGAGGTGTTCCTCCTGCCTCAAGCTCCCGAGTGCTGGGATTGCAGGCATGTGCCACCCCGCCTGGCCATATTCAGACGCTTTTAGAATATCAAGGTCATTTATATTGCTTCTTTTTTTTTTTGGTATCGCTTCTTAAAGCTCTATGTAGAATTTGTTTCATAAGGTTGATTTTTTTGAAAAGACATTTTGGAGGAAGTTTTAGTTTTACAGAAAAATTGAGCAGAAAGTATAAAGTTCCCATTAAAGTCTGTCAAAATATTGTTTCCTCTTTAGTTACACCTTACACTAGTACAGTACATTTGTTACAGTTGCTAGGTGTGGTGGGCACACATCTGTAATCCCAGCACTTGGGAGGCTGAGGCAGGAGGATTGCTGTGAGTTCCAGTTAGGCTACATATGGAGTTCAAGGTCAGCTTGAACTACATAGTGAGACCCTGTCTCTTTAAAAAAAAAAAAAAGTATACACACACACACACACACACACACACACACACACATTAATATTGCCTAAGCCCTTGGTCCTCACTCTGGTGTTATATAATGTTCGACAGATGTCTAAGATATAGCCACCATTACAGTGTCACATAGAGTAGTTTCACTACCCTGAAAGTCCCCATGCCTCTCTTAGTCATCTTGCCCTCTTCCTCTAAAATACTGACAAAGCTGACATTTCACTCTCCATACTTTTACCTTTCCCAGAATGCCTAAGGTAGATTTTTTTTGCGGGGGGGGGGGGTGTTGTTCTTGTTTTGGTACTGGGAATTCTGGAAATTGAGCCCAGGGCCTTTGCACTGAGTTATATAGCTCCTCCTATTAAAGTCTTTTAAAATTTTGAGACAGGATCTTGCTAAGTTGCTAAGATGCTCCAGCTGGCCTCAAACTTGCAATCCTCCTGCCTCAGCCTCCTGAGTGCTGGGTCTACAGGCCTGTGCCACCATGCCTGGCATTGTTACTTCAACAAAGTAAACTAGATTTTTGCTTGGAAATATTAAAAATTACTTAGCTACTATTAAACTTATTTTTAGGTTCATAAACCATGTAGAAGGCTAAAAATATATGGAATTTAAACCCAACAAACTTCCATTTAAATAGTGCCCTAGGCTGGGTGTGGTGGTGCATACCTGTAATCCTAGTGCTAGGGAGGCTGAGGCAGGAGGATAGCTGTGAGTTTGAGGCCA